GTATTGTTGCTGCTTATGCTTTTGTGTTGCTGTTGCAGGCTCAGTTGCTGCTGCTGCTGCTGTTGCTTGTTCATGCTGCTCAATTCCAGTTAAGAGATAAAATTTTTATGACATCACTTTTCTTTTTCATTATTTATTTGACCGAGCAGCATCGCTGTTGCTGCTGCTGTTGCTGCTGTTGCTGCTGCTGTTACCCCTGACAATCCGCTGCAAATGATGAGCAACGACGCCTTGGGAGTTTATGAACTTTATGTTTATTGAAGCCATAAATTGGTAGTGCATATGGCTGTTGTGTGCTCTGGCGTATACGTTATATTACGTATACGTTGCCCTAAACTGTGCATGACTTGCATGATTTAATGATTCGCATTCATTACATATTTATATCGCTAACGATAAGCTAATAACAACATTTAGGCTTAAAGCAAATTGTAATTAGTACGTTTTGTGCATTTAAAATTGCACAAATTAAGCATTTAAATGATGCAATCAGGGTTGGCAAAGGCAATGATGGCAATTGAATTATTATTTATTAATATGCCATAGTCAGGCAAGATGAAGTGGTCGGCTGCTTAGCGGCAACTCATCCAAAAGTTGTTTAAGACAATGAAAATGGCTCTTAAAAAAAAGAGCATATTTTTGAATAGGGATTCACTGCGCATTCTGCAAGTTGAAACAAAATTGGTTATTGATTTTTGCGACAATCGCATTATTGGACGTGAACGCGCACTTAAAGGCGCAGAGCACACACTCGAGGATATGGATACATAAACGTGCCAAATGTCAGCGAACCGAACAATAATGGCCAATGGAAGCCAATGATATTCGCTATGCCAGTTATGGGCATCTGTTATGCAATGAGATTCTTTGTTGGCAGCTAGCGCAAATCGACTATGCAGCTGGGTTTGAATACGAATGTGCATTCGATGGTTAGCTTTGCCCGCTGCCAAAGGATTCAGGGAATTACAGGGAATCTGTTGCTTAACAGCTCAACAAAGTTGAGAAGAAACTTTCATGAACTCAAATAGAATTCACAAATATTTGCATTTTATTACCATAAATGTTAACAAAATAATTTATTTGACGATATAGAATTTTATTTAACAAACTAAAATAATATTATATAAACTATATTTTATAAATAATATATTCATATGAAAGTATATTCTTTAGTCATAATAAAATAATCAAGAAACACAACTTGCCTATTTTTGTTCAAATTAACATACACAGTTACTGTTAAGCAACATAACAGAACGCTCTTTTAATAACATAGCAAGGAAACGTTATTGCTAACAGAAAGTTAACATTCATTTGGAAAAAATTCGATTTTCATGAATTTTGTCTATTAAAAAAAGGGATTTGCTTTATTTGTGACACTTGGTGGGGAAATATTGTTCGAAAAAATGAATACGGCACCAAAAAGGTTGATTAACAAGAGATTGTTGGACAATTCGCTGCACATGCTGGTAATTTCATGAGCTGATTATATTCTCATTATTGGATTGAATTGGTAATTAGTGGCAATAAACATTTATTGGTGTTTGACTACAAAGTTGTAAAGATTTAATAATGCGATCAGATGTACAAAACATGAAACCTCTCAGTTAAGAACCATATAAATTCAAGCGTCACAACAATTCAATTAACAAAAAGAAATATGAACTTGTCGGTGACGATTACCATACAGTTAATTCTGTTAAGGGCCAATTTATCATGGAGTTGGGTAAGTTAAGTAATTTGACACAAAAACAATAAATACTTCATTAATTGTTACTATTGAAGGGATACAAATACAATGTGCAAATTGTGCAATTTGATACTTTGGAACCCGAAAATGAACTACTTGTTGATTTTCGTAATCTTCGCGTTGTGGGCCGCGAACGCTCTCTAAATGGAACCGTCCACATACTCGAAGATATGGATGGGGAAAATTTTCAATTGTCAGTCGATTTTCGTAATGATCCAAACAACAATGGCCGCTGGCGAGCTGTTCTTTACAATGTACCCATAATGAATATTTGTAGAGCAATGAAATTGTATATTGGAACGTATGCTAAGTCAACATTGCGACAGGGCGAGATAACAAACTTACCATTTGATGGTAAGAGCTGTCCATTGCCCAAGGGCACATACTATGTTAGGAATCTGTTGATGAACACTGAAACATGGCCTGAAATAATACCAGCTGGTGGGGTGGAGCTCAATTATCGATTTTATAAGCATGGCAAACCTGTAGGTGGTGCCAGCTGTCGAGCTGTAATTGAGCGCAAACTAATGTGAATCTACAATAAAAGATCTTTAAATAAACCTATTCTGCATTATTAATACTAATGCAAATCACACATTATGCATTTGATTCTTACTCAAAGAACTGTTAGAGCTAACAGAATAGTTTGCATCACGTTTTCTCTACCGAACTGTCTCTACCCCTAATAAAATCGTTGCTTTCAGGATACCTTCGGGAAGTCGCTGACCATTCCCAGCTATGAGCAGGGGCATAGCTAGCCGGACAGGCTGAAAAATTTTCCCCCACCGTGTCGGTGATTTCCCAATACTTTTCTCTTTGTCCTATCCACTTAACACTCTTTATCTAACTTACATTGCTTTACTTTATTAACAATTTTCTTACTTTCTTTTTTCCTATTTATTGTATTTTCTTTATTAATTTAGCAAATTAAGATTATTTTTAATTTCACTTGAGATCACTTTTTTCCTACTTACAACCTTCTGCTTAGATGTAGGCTCTAATAGCGTCACTGACAAAATTAGCTGTGAAAAGGGGCACAGCTGGCCGGACTGGCAAATAAAACACCTCCATCGGTCGGTGATGCTATTTAGAAAATTGTATCCTTTAACTAGGCTTTTAGAATATACTTATATTGTACAACCTTTTGAATAATGAGGAAGACACTCGTTTTGTCGACCATTAATAAATAAATATAAATCAATAAAAAAAAATGTTAACATTATAGCAAGAGACATTAACATAGTGTTATTATGTTATTACTCTTCACATTATTGAGCTTAGAAAATTTTAACAGATCCCTGACATTTTACAGTTTATAAAGTATTTGAATTTTGTATTTTGAATACAATATAGGCAGATCAGCACTTGAGTGTTTGATACTACTAGTATACAATCTGATAAGTTTGATAATTTTAATTAGTGGCCAAAGGCAATTATTTTGTATTAGAATGCAAGGCTTATCCAATTAAAAACGTAATCAGATATATGAAACATGAAAACTTTTAATTAAGAGCTATATAAATTAAGTCGGCCCGAACTATTCAATTAACAGAAAAAAACATGAATCTGTCAGTAACGTTAATTCTCCAGTTGATCCTTTTTAAAAGCAACTTATTATGCAGTACGGTAAGCAAAGAAATTATTCTACTTAAGCAATACATCTATCTAAAATAATTACTATTTAAGGGCTTATCCAAGTATACTGTAGAAATGTTTCAATTTGACGCTTTGGAAGCCGAAGAGGAACTACTTATCGACTTTCGCAATGTTAGTCTTGTGGGTCGCCATCGAGCACTAAATGGAACAGTCTACATACTCGAAGATATGGATGGGGAACATTTTCAGTTTTCTTTAGATTTTCGCTATGATCCAGAAAGAAATGGTCAATGGCAACCTGCGCTTCGCCATGTACCCATCATGAACATTTGTAGAGCAATGGAATTGTTTATAGGAACGTTTGCCAAATCGACTTTCCGAATGGACGAAAATACGAATTTACCATTTGACGGAAAGAGCTGTCCATTGCCGAAGGGCACATACTATATAAAGAATATGTTGCTTAACACCGATACCTGGCCGGATTTAATCAATTTTGGCGGTCTGGAGCTCAATTTACGATTCTATAAGAATGGCAAGTCTATAGGTGGTGCGAGCTGTAAAACTATTATGGAGGAGCGACTTAGGTAACTCTAACTATAATACCCTTGATTGCCCCATTTAATATGCACTCTTGAGCAAAATAGTTATTATTTTCTCTTATAAATTAATCAAAGTTTTGAAATAAATTCAATTTTAATATGCGACTATAACAGTTTCTGGAAATCTTACTGTAAGACCAAGAACTCTAGCTTTTCTATAAAGTTATCCTGTTATCCATACAGGAATGTTATATAACAGAATGTATAATACATACTGTCAACCGTTCGACTCGTATTATTTGTACAATATGTAATTTGATATAGAAAGACAATCATTGCTTGCAGATGTTTCGATTCGAATAACATATGTAATTTTCATTAATTAGAAGTTGAACGTCCCAAAAACACAAATAGAAACATTTAAATAAGAGATAAACTGTCGGTATTTAGTATTAGTAATTAGTTGTAAATGGCAATTATTTTGAGTGCAAATGCAAAATTGCACACACTAAGCATTTAAATGATGCGATTAGATATAAAAAATATTCAAACATTTAATTAGTTGCAATATAAAAATGCCAAGCGGTACGATTCGATATTCAAAACCCAACTTGAATTCGCCTGCTGTGTTACTTCTTTAGTTAATGTTGTTAACAGTAAACTTAGCATGGACTACGTTAAATCAGAAATTGTCTTCAAAGCAATAAAAGTTTCTCGATATTGCACACTTTTAGGGACTCTTGAGTGTCCATACAGAAATGTTTGTAATAAAGGGAGACTTAACAGCCTACACATTCTGTTAATTGTAGTTTTCATTAGCTAAGAACCACATAACAGAGCCATGAAATGTTATTGCCTTTAGAAGTTCATATGAAGCGGCCAGTACTAATTACAAAAATATCAGAAGAGCTTATATAACATTTAATACATTTTCTACCAGCATTTAGTGTGTGTAATTAATAATAAATTGGAATTATTCAGCGTTTAAATTCTAAACTGCACACATTCGGCATTTAAATGATGCGATAATGCGATATGAAAACATGCAAAACCATTTAATTAATAACTATATAAATATGCCAGAGCCAACGATTCAATTACCAAAACCCAACATGGCGTTGCCGGCAGCGCTTTTTCTTCAACTGCTGCTGTTGGGAGCCAACCTGTCAAGCAGCTGGGTAAGAAATACCTACTAGCTAACAGCATAAAATCGACCTAAACTTTATATTTTAAAGGGGCTTTATATCTACACTGCAAGAATTATAAAATTTGAGGCATTGGAAAGTACCGAGAAGCAATATATTGATTTTCGCGATGTTCGAGTTGTGGGTGCAGAGCACTCACTTAACGGTACTGTGCACATTCTTGAGGATATGGATGGCAGGCATTTTCAAATGTCTGCTGATTTTCAGCACGATCCCAAGCGAAATCATATATGGAAGCCAATGATATTCTTTGTACCCATTATGGACATCTGTTCGGGGCTGAGAGTGTTCTTAGAAAACTACGGCAAAGCGACATTGCGACAGGGCGAGAATACGAATCTGCCATTTACGGGCAGAGACTGTCCACTATTCCAGGGTACGTACTTCGTAAAAAATATGCTGATAAACAGCGATAACTGGCCGGCTATAATACCCTTCGGTGGTATGAGGCTCAATCTACGATTCTATAGACATTATAAGTTTGTGGGTGGCTTGAGCCTTACGTTCAATGTGGAGCGCCAGCTTTTGTGAAACAACCCTTCAAAGGAATTAATACTTCATATAATCCCATTGTAGGATTCAGCTTGAATTGGCTATTATTCTCAATAGCGTGCATTAAATCACAAAATTTGTCGGAATTTCATATTGCAAATAAAAATGTAAAGCTAAAGCTTTGAAATGAATTTGTTGTAAATGTTTTTGGCAAATGCTTGAAAATCTGAAAATTTCCGCAAATGGATCACATTAAAATACACTAAAAACCCATTAAATTCGTATAAAATCCCATTTTTGTGCATTTAATGTCATAAATCACAAAATTTCACAGCACATGCATTAGAGAACCACACGCTCACACACACACACACACACACAAACACAAGCACACAAATCCAGGAAACACACATGAAGCTGGGGCTTAGTTGCTGCTGACAAAGGGCAAACAATTCGAATTGTGCGTTGCTCGTCGCCTGTTTTTGGGCCTGCGTCCGGCAACAACAGCAATGTGAACAAAATGTATCTGCTTATGTCTGGTCCCGGCTCCAATTTCTGACCCAAACGGGCTCCAATTGCCGCGCCATATCATTAACAGGGTATATATGGCTAGCTTAGGTGGCCGTAAACGTTTGGTCGACTAGTTAAACATGAGTTAAGTTAGTTTCTAATAAATGACATAAAAATAGGCATAGAGCTACAAGTAACTTAACATGCATTTGTATTAGTTTCTTGTTAAGAGAGCACTGTTAATACTGAAACAATTTTTGAGAGACGCTTAGAACGTCTGTTTCGTTAACGAAACATACGAAGGGGACATAGCAAGACGGAGATTTTAGAATAATGTTCCGACGAGCTTAAAACACAGAAATAACGGGGATAATTGCAACGCTAACAGTAACGGTAAACGTGGCAGGAACAGTAACAGTAACTGTAAAGGTAACTTTAACAGTAACAGAAACAGTAACATTATGACGCTAATTAGCAACAACAGTAACAGGAACAGTAACAATAACGCTAACAGTAGCTGGGTGCCATTGAAATTCACTAGGTGCTGGTATATTTTAGTCGCGCCAACTAAATGCTTGCCGCTTCCAGTCGTTTAGTGCCTGAAAGTGTGTTTGTGTGATTTTTCATTTTTCATGCAAATGCAAAATGTCCCTTTCTGGCATCGGCTATTGCTTGGTGTTTTGTTTTGTGGTCGCAAGGCATTTAAATACCGCACATTAATGCAATGCAGGCTAGATTTTTGAACGGTCTGCTACTGCTGTTGCGGCAGCTCTATTCATTGAGCAATAAAATCGAAAAATACCAGAGTGCTCAGCCAATACATATTTGCACAACATATATAAATAGATATATGTTTTGGTGCCTGTTGTGGCGACAAACCAGATGTGCGAAATTTGTCAGACGCAAATTTCATTGGAATTTTGTTTGTTGGTCGCTTTTTTGTTGATGGTTGCCCAAATGAAAAGCGATGGCTCATAATTAATTGATTTGACAGCAGGCGGCAAAGCCCAGACACAAGGTAAATCCCCTTAGCCAGAAACAAGTTTGCAATAAAAACATACATTTCGGATTTTGTGTGTGGAGTGTGTGTGTGTGTGTGCACAACACTTGTGAGCTGGACAGAAAACACATGTAGTAACCCGGCACTCAAAACGAAGCAAGCTGTCATAAAAACTTTAAACAAAAGGCAAACTCAGAAAACTCTAGCAAGCTCAGTTAACCAAAGCGCATAAATGTAAGATGCTGCTGCAGCTGTTGCCTGCCACGATTGCTGCCGCTGCTGCAGCTCTTGTTTGCCGACAGCCAGAGCCCAGACAGATATATAGTCTTGGCTCTAGCCAACAGCAACAAAACACTCTGCCAACAACCAGGTAACAGCAGCGACGGCAACACCAACAATAAAAGTGAAAAGCGCACTCTGTGCATTGGCAAATGCTATAAACGTGTCGCCTTTCTCCCTCGCCCCTGGCTGTCTGTTTGTCTGCCATGTTGGAGCTGCTTGTACAGCAACTAGCCCGCAGATACCCTTACCCAACCCTTTTGAAAGCCTTACCCGATTATGCCAAGCTGGATTCTACAGCACTAAGGCTGGCCATATTTTTGGCGCCATACCCCTATACAATATTGTAGTACCTGAACAGACATATGTTTCGGTTTCAGCTGGTTGCCATACCCTACCTTGGCCCTGCCATGGCCATACTGTATTGCGGCTTATTTGGCTGCCCTATGAATAATGGCACTGGCATTGCCTGCCTGCCTTCGAGCTTATTGTGTGAATTATTAGCGTTGTGTGTATTAAAATGCAGCTCAAGCTAATGCACACACACACACACACACAGACACATACAACAGACAGCAGACAAAGTTTGCGATTGGCCCACGCTGCGTATGTGCAATGTGATTTACAAGCCAAACTACTCGACGGCGCATTTAATGTGTGCGGCTTTATGGCCACAAGAGTGTTTAACAGTTAACTACAAACACATTGAGCAGCTGCCACAAAAGCCAATAATAGCAGATCTATATACACACATCAATGTGTGTGTATGCGCCGGACAATCCCTGAGCTGCACTGCATCTCATTTGATTAAAAGTCTTTTGGCCAGACTCAATCCAAAGCCATGCTAGATTTAATGGCAAGTGGCCAAACGCATTGAAAACATTCGCAAGTTATCGGCAAACTTTAATTTTAAACTTAAAACATTTAACAAGCATTTAAATAGATTGCGTGCTTTTATAAATGGTAATAAATGGGAGATACAATTTATCCATGGATGTTAGCTTATCATTTGAAGAAAGCAGAAGTGCTGTAGTATTCATGGTTTGACCACTTGTAAATTCTTTCAATCATGGAAAAGTGTTTACACCTAATAAAAAGGAATATACACTGCAATTTGATTAACTGCCTCACCTGCTTTGACTCACAAAATTGGCCAGTTGGACAAAATTGGACAGTTTTTCATTGGGCTTTATTTGAAAGGTTTTGTTCAATAATCCTTTTTTTTGTCTATCGTATTTTGTATTTATTATAATTATTTTTTTCACAATTATAATTATTTTCAATTTTCTGATTTTCCAGTATTTTCATGGCATCAAAGCCTGTCAAAAGTTGGCGCGAAATTAGTTATTCTTGAGCGAAAAATACAACAAAATGTACTAAAAAAGTTATATTCGGCAAAAAAGTTCAAAGTTCACATAACTTTAATGCAACAAAGTTAATATTTTGCATTGAAACTAGAATTTCTTGCTCTCTTATTGCCAGTTTTGTGCAGTTATTGATAGATTTAGGACATATAGTATTAGAAAAAGTAATTTAGTGAATGTTATATAAAAACAAAGTTGCAAGTGCTAGAAATGCCGTGAACCCCCTCGAGGTAGAAAGGATAGGGATAGGGAAAGTCGCATGTTTGAGCTGCAGTGGAAGGCTATCCGGCCCTCGACAACCGTGAGATTAATTTATGAACTATTTTAATAAAAAACTCGATTTGATTTGATTAAAATAGTTTAGAAACTATTAGCTAAGCATTCGCTAACGATGAAAGTGATTCATACATTATGATCAATACTTTGCCAGCAATAATCTGGAATGGATTCTCATAAATATTTTATGGTAAGCCGAACCGACATAATTTTGCCAAGCGCCATGTTTATATTTAAAAATGATCTTTAAGAAGTCGCGTTTATTTTATTTTCAATTTGGAAACGGAAATATTTACATATCACATTAAAACTTATCAGTTCAATGCCTGCACTCATCTGTCACATTTTGTCATTCAATATTCAGCATTACCAAAGCGAACATTCCAATATATAAATATATATGCAATTCGATATGATTAAAGCATGCCACGTTCTACTAGAGAATCTGTCATTCGTATCAGTTCGATTAACATATTGCATGTGCGCTTATAGAAATGATATATTTATGCATATGCATATTAATTTAAACATTGAATAAGCGTATTATTCGCCATTAATTAATGTGTTTAAAGCTGCAGGGGCGTGGTCATATTTAATGAGACGCCTCTCGCACAAAAGCCGGCTTCTGCCTGCCTGAAGTTGTTTTTGTTATTGTTAATATTTATTGTGGGTCTGTAACAGTTGCTGCTGCATCAGCTTTAATTAAATTCCATATTATTGGCCTATACTATGCGTAGACATAGTAAATTACATGGACTTGTCTATGCCGATAAGCAATCAACATCTACGGCCAGCTTACGGTGCGTATGCTTAATGAAATTGATGAGCGTCTGCTGGTATTTGTATTTGTGCACTGTGACCTGCATTGCTATCAGTCTGCTCGGGCAGGCGCCACTTGGGCATTGCCAGCAAACAGGAAACGGATGCAAAACTGTGACACAGGAAACGCACTTGTCGGGCGGCGACTGTGACTGCAAATGCAGCTGCAACAATTAAAACGATAAAAGCGCAAAATGGTCACAGTTCAGCAGCGTTAATCAGCAGCAGACGACAGCCACATGGATACGGATATGAGCAGCAGGAACAGCAGAAACAGCAGCGGGTAGCAGTAGCAGGCGAGGGACAAGCATTCGGAATGGCAATTTAAAGCCACTTGGCAAAGCCTCAGACTCATGTAATGAGCGCACTCGGAGCGCAGTGCAGCCAACAGGCAACGTGGCCAGGCCGCATGATGACATACATTTACCGCTTGGCGTTAACGCTTAATGGATGCCACAAGGAGTACTACACTCAGAGGAAAAATCTGGAATTTGTACACAAATCACATGCAAACGTTGTCAAGCTGCGAGCTGAACATTTCATAAGCCGAGTACGAAATTTCCTTTAATTCAATAAATTCGAAAAAGTGCATTTACTCTTTACTCTTTGCATTAAATTTGAGTAGAGCAGTTCGAATGGCGCTTTTCTCCAAGTGTACATACAAACTAAAGCCCAGACATAAAATGCAGCTTTAACTTTGGAGCAAATTGAAGCATTTAATTGATTGGCCAGTTGCAGCCAGGTTGCCTGATTGAGCTAATGGACGAGCATTTTACAAGCACAGCATAGTGTCCGGTCTACAGTCTGGCATCTACAGTATGTACTCGCATGTGAATGTCGCCAGCTCTTTGTCTTGCCCGCCAGTCAGGCACTCAATTAAGTGCATTT